TGCTGGTTTGGGAGTAGTCAATTATTGCTTTCCCTTTTGACGATTCACCAAGTATAACTAATAAATCCTATAAATTGTATATTGTTTATTAAATATTAGCAAGGTTTTTAATAAATTTTTTTATTTTTTTTATAACAGTTTGCGTATGCAGTTTTATAGCTTGTTAAATTTTAGTATAACAAAGTGCAGGTTTTAAGCGGCTAAAAAATCGTGTTGGTTTTTAACAATTTATGTTGGCAAAGAAAAAAAGAATACACGCCAGCTTTTATATCTTTCACTTTTTGACGCGTTTAAAACTTGCACCTTTTTATATTAAAATTTAACAGGCTATCCCACTGCATACCCAAAGATTAAAAAAGATCAAAATTTAATGCTCTGTACAAAAATTTAAAGTTCGATATATGTATATGGCTCGGTAAAGCATCAACCAGGTTTTTTTATAAAAAAATATTAGCTTTAAAAATCTTGAAAATATTTAACAAAAATCATCACAGACTCAGTTCTGCACTTAACTGTAGGTATTTATAGATAAATTTTAAAATTTTACCTTTTTAAGTACTTTTCCCCCAATGAAACAATTTCTTGTCGGCACCAAGGAATCAGTTGGAAGCTGATTCAGCCATTCGCTCACTTTTGATGGCATTGACAACGTCTCATCTTCTATGCCAAGCTTTTATAAATAAAAACTATGTTTTTTAATTTGTAATCTATTTATTTTGTATGAAAATTTACCTCTTCTTTTTTCCAAGAAAAAAGTTTATCGCGGAACTCCACCCGTAGTCCTAAAGGCGGCACTGCTTCTTTTAGGTCACCACTTGTTAAAAATTTTAAACTTTGGAAAGTGACTTGCGCAGCTGTGAAAAATAAAAGATATATGTATAACTAACCACCTATTGCACAGCAACGCTAAACGTCTTCGTAGAAGCTGTACATACATACATACAGTCAGCGTCAAAACGATGTATACCCTCAGGTTTTGAAGATTTTTATATATGCACACACAAGTGAGCAAATTGCGAACGTTGCATTTGAACTGTTTAGTTATTTTTCACAAATAATTACTTATTTTTCAGGCTAACTGTATATTGCGATGAAAAGACGCCAGCACAGATGTGTATGCACATATGTATGTACATATCGTCGTTTAAAGACATTGGCTGTCAAAAATTGGATTTGCTCACACAAGCTCTTGGCTCAATCCTTATCCATTCGTCCTGAAATATACTAGCCAGAAATGCGATTGCTTTATAAAAAAAGATAACCATTTTGAAATATGAGTGTTTTTACGCTCTAGAAAATAATTTCTACATATTCACATACGCGGTTTTGCATTTTGCTGATGCGCGGTTTTGCACTTTAAACGACGATATGTATGTTTGTATGTATTTTCAACGGACAAGCAACAATGTCGCAGCAGAATGCTCATTTTTGTACAAGTGAGAAAATTAAGAACGTTGCATTTGAACTGTTTAGTTATTTTGCACAAATAATTACCTATTTTTGACGCTAACTGTATATTGGTTTTAAAATTTATCTGCCTTTTAAACACATTTTTTCTGAACAAAATTTGTGTTTAAAGGGCAGATAAATTTTAAAACCTACTTGAGAAAACGGCTCTTATCCTACTGATATTATCACCCCTATTCTGCAATTCTTTCGTATTCGGATTTGGCTACGAATCGTAGAAATAGTATGCTACATTCCGAATCATATTTTCGAACTTTCGAAATTCGTAACGATGGCATGCCTAAAAACGAACGAGTAAGCTTTTTTGCGTAATTTTGTACGAAAACAATTCTGTGTCGGAGGCGAAATAAAAGATGTTTTGGTGCGTAAATGATAACACAGTTAGGGTATTCACAGTTTACTTCTAAAGTTAAAAGGTGGCAACTTTAACAAGATAACACACTCGAACTGTGAGCAACCCTTATGTTTAAATAAAGTATTAAGTTGATCAACGATACCACGCATTGCTAGACCGTTTGCCTTTCACGCGTTTGTGTTTAGAGAGCATCAAGAAACCACATACATATTTCTCTCTATTCTCTTTTCTCTTTTTTATACTCAGCTAGCACAGCGCAAAAATAAAAAAAAAAACCTTTGCCAGCTCCAGGCAGGCGCAAAGAGAAACTTATATACAAGCAGCGCTGCGCCCAAAGCGAAATTCATGTATGTATGTACAAGCAGCGATAGATGCCAGTTTAACACAGAACATAAACATGAGACAAAGTCTAGTAATTTTGCCCAAAAGTGTTATCTCTAATTAGTATGGGAACCAACAACAAACAAAGTTACCACATGGTAAAATGTTTTAAAGTTACCAGGTGGCAAAATTAACACAGTAGATAATATAGAACTGTGAGCACCCTAAGTGTTTTATGCAATGTACAAAACTACTTTAATGGATGACCTTCGATTTTAAATACAATACAAAATGCGGTCCGCTATCGAGAAAAAAAAGATTCACCAGCGGAAGTTCGAGTCCAAAAAGTGACAGCTCACGTTGTAAAAAATGTCAGTATCATTATTGCGAATGACCACTTGTCGGGAGTTGCCATATCAATAATGTTGCGATGACCACTTGTTGGGGATTGCCACATGACTCCCCCGCTAATGACCCAGCCGATCAGGTAGTTTAATCCGACGGCCCGATCTTGTAGTTGTGATTGGCTGAGTTCCGATTGTAATTGGTTTGAAGTTTACTGATCGATTGTCCGAGTCGTCGATTAACTTTTCGACAAAGGCTGGTTTGTGGCGATCTATCGATACAATTGTTTGCCGTTGATACTTAGCTTAAAGTCTTTAGCTCCGTGTTTTATAACATTGAATGGGCCCTTATATGGTGTTTGTAACGGTGCTTTGTGGCTGTCAATCCGAACGAAAACAAACCTCGCTTCCGGTAGTTCTGGATGTATAAAAACAGACGGCGAATCGTGAAAAGATGTCTCACGAGACCTCACTTTATTTAACTTTTGTGTTAAGGAGGTGATAAAGTCGTCGTCGCTCGTTCTACTGATGGACTTGTTGAAAAACTGCCCTGGTAGTGTGAGTGTTTTCCCAAAAACAAGTTCGGCTGGAGATGCGTTGAGATCCTCTTTGACCACTGAGCGTGATCCCAGTAAAATGAGAGGTAATTCGGTGATCCAATCGTAGTCTGTTAACTTCGCTTTCAATGCAGACTTCAGCGAACGATGCCAGCGCTCAATTATCCCAGTTGCTTTTGGATTGTAAAGTGTCGTTCTTAGATGCTTTACTCCGAGCACCCGTGTATGTAAAAGTTGTTGGATTCATGTTATGCGTTTGGACACAACAACCGAAAGTCATTGTACAAATAACCAAACCGGACCCAAGTTTCTCGATAAGGGCAACACAGATTCTTTTTTGTTCTTTTATATAAAGCAGTGGATAAAAATATACGTATATACGAAAAGCAAATTTATCTGTTTAAATGAACACCAATAAATAAATGTTTAAATATCTCCTGCAAACACACATCGATTTACATCTTTTATCTCGCCTACGACACATGATTGTTTTAGTACAAAATTACGCAAAAAAGCTGCCAATTTCTCACTCGTTCATTTTTAGGCATGCCATTGTAACGAATTTCGAAAGTTCTAAAATACGATTCGGATTTTAGCATACTATTTATACGATTCGTAGCAAGAACCGAATGCGAAAGAGTTACAGAATAGGGGTGCAAGAAAACAAAAAATTTGTAGTAGCGAACTTTTGATACAGTTTACTTCTATTTGACATGTAGATCATGGATCCACAGTCTTGCCCCTAAATTTAATAATATTAAAAAAAATTAATAAAATTTGCGGTTGGCAAAAACAGTTGGCAGTTTGGTAAAAACGTATTCAATACAAATTTGTAGAGAATTTCAAATGACATTGTCTACAACTTTTACGTATTTTCAAAATTCGAAAAATGGCGAAATGACAATGTAGACATTTTTCGCAGTTTTTGCTTATTATTTGCAACAAAAAGTGTCTTTTTATATATTAAAACTGTGAAAAATTAAATTCTCTACAAATTTGTATGTAACCATTTTTTATGAAAAATTCAAAATAAGCTTGCAAATCGCGAAAAACCCAAAAAAACATAAAATCCAAGATAGCAGAAAGTTTCATTATGAAATTTTGGTGGCAAGACTGTCGGTCCATGATCTACATACATATCAAATAGAAGTAAACTGCATCCACAGTTCGCTACTACAATTTATTTATTTATGCATTTATTTGATCTACAGAAAAATGTTTTCTTACAGACAAATGAGAATAGAACATTTAGATACATAGTAATTTATAATAATAATAATAATAATAATAATAATAATAATAATAATAACAACATAAAATAGCAGGTTTGGTAGCTGGCGAGGCCTAGTCTTCAGTCCACTTTTGTGTGCGGCAGTCGGAAAGACCTAGTTTCCGCTCCGCGCTGCGGACAGACTGTTGAGCAAGGTCGGTAAGACCGGGTTTCTGATCCATGTTCCCGAAGACATTACTTTGTATGTGTGGCAGGCGGAAAGCTCTGGTTTCCGCTCCGCGCTATGAACAAGCTGTTGCACATGGTCGGAAAGAACGAGTTTCCGATCCATGTTCCCGAGTCATTACTTTGAATGTGTGGCAGGCGGAAAGCTCTAGTTTCCGCTCCGCACTAAGGACAAGCTGTTCAGCATGGTCGGAAAGAACGAGTTTCCGATCCATGTTCCCGAAGTCATTACTTTGAGTGTGTGGCAGGCGGAAAGCTCTAGTTTCCGCTCCGCGCTGTGGACAAGCTGTTGATCATGGTCGGAAAGGCCGAGTTTCCGATCCATGCTCATATTGTCTTACGCGGTCGCGAAAATATACGAAGCCGATTACAGTTGTACTAAGCAGTTATAGATATTGTGTAATTTATCGTTCCCGGTTAAAGATATTAATTTTAGTTTAATAGTTACAAAAAAGCGATTCACGTTTACGTTTACCTCATAAACTGAACAGAACATATCCTGGGTATGCATCACGGATGTCGATAATCGTGCGACGTTATCGTGTTGACGATTGTCTTGCTTCATAAAAGCGGAAAAACGCTCGCTCGTCTGTGCGATATCGTCAACTCAATTCAAATTTGTCTTCACGTAAAAGTTTGAAGAGCCATGTATTTTTAATTTAACGTCAGTAGTTGCACGATAGAGAATTTAATATCGTTTCAAAAAAAATTCAAATCTATTGAAAATGTTCCGAAGATCTGCCGCTGTTTTAATAGTCGAAAGCGAAAGAGAGCATTTAGCCGAGATTCGGCGTCGTCGAAGTTTGCGGGATAGCTCCAATCCATTGTCGCTTCCAGAGAAAAGGTACATATCGATGGCCCTGTGCAATAACGACACAATTCAAAATTCAAAAAAGAAAAACTGTTACTACTATTAAGTGGCTCTTGTCTCTAATCCTTGTCTAATACATTTCCATCCCTTACTTAAGTAAGTAAGGATTGGTAAATAAAGTAAGTACAAAAGATTAGATCTGGATTCGACAAGGATTAGAGACATGAGCCACTTAACAGTAGTAACAGTTGTAATTTTTTGAATTTTGAATTGTGTCGTCATTGCACAGGACCAGCGATATATATGCAAAAATATTCTATAATTTTTTTTGTTAATTTTGTTTACATATGTATGTACATACATACATATAAATATATATATAATGCATTTCATTCAAGCTTCGTTAAACGATTTCGTCTGTCTCGCGAAGCCTTTTGTTATGTGCTTCGAATAACAGCTGACAATAAGGGAAGTCGTTCAACCTATATTCCTCCAATCCTAAGACTGTGTGCGACATTGGAAGTCCTTGGAGGAGGTGGCTATCAATGGCTAACCGGAAATGACTCCCGCGTTTCTGTAGCCCAAAGTACGCTCTCGGGAATAGTCACAGAAACTATTAGGAAGCTGGAAGCCGTACTGTGTCCTCTATGGATTCAATGGAGAGTACATAATCCAAGTGATGCGGCAACAACAAAGCAGTGGTTTTACCGGAAGTATGCAATACCAGGAGGTGATTCACATAAATTTAATAAATTTTTTCAATAAAAAAATTATTGTTTTCAGTTATCGGTTGTGTGGATGGTACGCACCTTTTCTTCCAAAGGCCCACGCAAAATGAAGAGATTTACTTCAACCGAAAAGGAAGACACAGCCTAAATGCAATGATCGTAAATATAAATTGATCACTTTAAATGCGTTATACATTATTTGAGTAAATACTTTTCAGATTTGCGATCATAAAATGAATATAATGGGAATTAACGCTAAGTATGGAGGATCAGCACATGACTCATTGGTGTGGAAACATTCCAATGAACGCGCGTATTTCGAAAATATTTTTAACGGACGGGAACACGGCCATTGGCTTCTTGGTTAGTATGGTAAATGTGCATATTTTTATGTATATACATACACATGTTAGCAATATTGCAACAATTCTTTTACACATGAGGAAATCGATATATGAATAACTAATATGTACATATTTGCAATACTACAATACAATTAAGCTTTATAGAGTTTTAGTGTATGACGATTTTTTAAGATGCAGTGTTTAGTTGAAAGCAATATATAACGACTTGTCCACTAAACAATGTAAATATATTTGTTACTTCTTTTTAGGAGATAGTGGGTATCCTCTTGAACCGTGGTTGTTGACACCTTATAGAACTTCTACTGACATTAGTAGGACCAAGTTTAATGAAGTTCACGCAAAGGCAAGAAACATTGTTGAAAGATGTATTGGAGTTTACAAAGGTTTTATGTGATATTAATTAATAAATTATATTAGATAGAAAAATTTAAAATAAATTTTTCACTTCTAAGGTCGATGGAGAATTTTAATGGAAGAACGAAAAAGTAAATACGATCCAAAAAAAATTGCCATTTTTGCGAATGCATGCGCTGCATTACACAACATATGCATTCAATATAATGTCCAACACCTTAACGTTGAAGCGAATCCTTTGAACGACGAAGTTTTTGAACCTGCCGCTGGTACATCTGAAAATTCCCGAAACAGCAACAAGCAAATAGCCGAGAAAATAAGGGATAATATTAAAACTTCATTGGCTTTAATTTAGCCAATTGTTAAAAATTAAACAAAATTCATACATATGTATGTATATACAGTGACTCAAAGAAATGACCACGTGTTGATTTTTTTTAATATTCATAATGCTTTTCTACATTTTGTACAAAGTTTTAAACTGTGATTAATATGGTTTTGGTTAAAGATTGGATGGTATTTTTATAGAAAAACATAAAATCAACACGTGCTCATTTCTTAGAGTCTCTGTATATATATACATACTAATACTTTTATTTCCTTTTGGTCATCTGTACGTATGTATGTAAAGTATGTTTGTAAAATTACATATGTATGTATGTAAATATATATCAAATCCATTAATTATAGTTTAGAAATAAAAGAGACTGATGCTTTTGCTTGATTAATTTCTGAACGCACCCTATATCTTCATACATATCGAGCCGCAATCGCCAAAAAATGTAAGCGCTATTTTCCAAAATTTTATTTTTAATGCGGAAAAGCATAAAAATGCTCTATATACATATTTATGTATATTAGGGAGGTCCAAACCAATCAGAATTTCAGTGCTCTCAACCCTAGGATTGTTCTATATAGAAAAATATACCCCTACAAACAAAAAAAAAAACAATGTTTTATTTTTCGATATAGAACAATGATAGGGGTGAGAGCATTAAATTCCGAATTTAATTTTTTCGTATGCATTTTTGGACCACCCCAATGCACATACGTGTATACTACAAATCCATATTAACGAGCTACACTCTAACCACACATATTTTTATTCAATTCTAGTTGCTCCTTTGCTATGTTGTTCTTCTCTTGAAGGAGATCAATAACCCGATTGTGAAACCGTATTTGCTCCTCGTTCCTATCTCGCATAATATTTAAAAATTCTGTCTGAAAATCTTGGTCTGATAACATTTGGTTTTTCAAAGTCTCAGCAGCGGTTTCATTTCTTTTTGGGCGCTTTGGCGTTCTGTCGACAAGCTTTGTCGAGCTTTAAAATAAGTAGAAAAGTTCCTTATTAGCTATTTAAGTAATTCCTTATGGTTTCAATTCTATTTACCTCGTATTTAAATTCAAAAACTCTACTTCTTCCACTTCTTCGTTGGCGTCGATCTCAATGAAAGCCACGTAATCATCATCCTTCTCCAACTGTTGTGGTGCACCAAAACAGTTCGAACTGCTACCACTCACAGCTTCTTTGATCGAGGTCAAGCTTATAATCTTTTCTTCTGCTGTCGTCAAAGGAATTTCTTCGGATGGCCCCCTACCAGTTTTTTTCAGTGATGCAATATTGTGGCTGCACTTTTTTTTCGCCCGATATTTTAAATCTGTCCATACCTAAAGAGGAACTCATTTAATACATATATACTTTAAACAACACAAAGTGTATTTGCCTTCCGCCATGAGTTTATGGGTTTATTGGGAAGTCCAGAAGCGTTTAAATTTTCAGTTAATTCGGTCCATAATCTATTGAGCTCGGCTTTCCCTTGAGCACTCCTTGGGACATAACCTTTTGCTAGTTCTGGATGCTCGTTCATGAAACTCGTCATCAAATCAACTTGCGCTGGTGTAACCGACCTAAATTATGTAAAATTTACAATTTCCTCAAATAGTATAAATGTATATTTAAATTAATGCTTACATGTTTTTTGTATTTATTTTTAAAAAATTTAAATTCTTTGGCGTTTTAATATTCAAATAATAGAATTTGTGTGACACATGGACAGCTTTTCAAACTGTTGATGAAAAACGATAGCCGACAAGAAAGACGATGCGATAGTTAGAACATACATGAATCAGTGTTTTGACGACATCGTTTTTGTAGTATCGTTTGCACGACTATCGTTTCAAAGTTACGTGATGCATGCCCTGTTGAGATTTTCAAATTGTTTGATCGTTTGTGCGATATAGTCAACTCGATTCCAATTTTGCTTCACGCAATAGTAACCGTACCACGCAACAGCAACACAAGTACATGAATCAGTGTTTTGACGACATCTTTTGTTAGTATCGTTTGTACGACTATCGTTTCAAAGTTACGTTATTCATGCCCAGGGCTAAAGAATTTTTGTATGACGATGGTTTTTTGTGACCTTTCTACTCGTAATTTAATATTTTGCCGGCTCGAAGTAAATTTTTTAAACATTAACAAAAACGCAAGTTTTTTAGTTTTTTATTTCCGATATATTTCGGTTACGCTTCGGCAACCGTCCTCGGGGCAAATTGATTTACACGTCCGAACTTTTGGAAGGCAGTGTGGTATTTGTGTTTGCGTTAATTTTTGAAAAATTGACATCGAGCCGGCAAAATAGTAAATTACACTTTTTTTATAGTTCATATTTTTTTTTGGATTGGTCGGAAACTGGGCTCGAACCCAATCCCTGCGGAATGGTAGCGCGCTATGAAGCTGAAAATATTATGAAGACTTTTTCATTTTAAAGCCCAGGTCTATGGGAAAGTTAATAAAAAAAAGGCGTGAGTACTAGGTACTCATGAAATTTGATGTGTAAACATATGTGAACTGCATAGCATAAAAGTACGTTTACATATAAATATAATCCCAATCAAAGCTCGTTAGCTGTCAAATTGGTTGTGCTTGTTATTCACACAACTCGAGGAAAAGTTAAACTTCTTCTCTGTGCCACCGTGGTCACTTTTTTCTGCAACACATATTATGCCATTTAAATATATTTTAACTGAATATTTTATTAAAAATACCTTTACAAACCCATTTTCCTTACTAGCGTAAATTTTTGTTTACTTTAACATTTGACATTCCTCCTCTTCTTCGCAAGTATAATCGATAAAACTAGGTTGGACACCAAAAAGTTATCGGTTTAATCTGAGATATTTTTAATTATAATTTTGCATGGCTAATCTCTTTTTCTAATAACAGATTAGGGAATTAAGCCCGAAAATTAGGATAATCTTTTTATATGTAAAGCTATTATTAGGCGATTCATTTACATACATACAAATGTAGGTTAGGTTAGAAATTAAACATTAATTTCACTTAATTTTATTCATTTTGCTGATTTCATTTTTTTATTCGTTTTCATTTTTAATTCTTTTAATACATGAAATTATCGGTATGATTGATAAAATATGATACTTGTATATACTTGTGACTTAAGGGCGTTAAAATTTCTTGAAAACATCGCATCAGTTATTGTTTTTGAGCTTATAGTTTGAGCATTTCTATTTGTATATATTCCTAAATTTAGTTTTTCTTTTCGGAATATAATCTGTGGTTCATGTAAATGAGAGCGATTTTTGGGAGAGTTGTGTAGAGATTGAAGTTGCAGGTTTTTACCCGATGCTTTTTTGTTCCGTACATTTTGCTGTTACTCACTTTTTATTCTCACTTCAGAGAGTGATTTTGATGTTTGACCTTTTTCCAGGATTTTACACGAAAAGTGTTGGATCAGAACTATTATATCATCCATACATATGCTTATTATACATATGAATTTTGAACGGACAAGTAACGAAGTCGCAGCAGAATAGAATGCTCAATTTTGTGTAGCGTTATTTCACGATTGCGTGAAAATACTTGTTCATACATATATGTATACATACATATGTACATATGCACAACCCTGCACAAAATTGTGCGACAAATCTCTATAGAGAGTATTCCGAGATTACTCTCAATCGGGTAGAATTGGGCATTAATTAGTCGCAACTAGTCTTATACGGGTACTAATGGAGGTCAATTAGTCTCGACTTATCCCTTATGGGTATAATTGGAGATCAATTAGTCCCCAACTCACCTCTAACGGGTACTATTAACGATTTAATGATATGTACGCACTTAGTCAATGAAATTACACATGCGGCCAGTGTTGCCAGGTCTTCGGCATAAGAAAACGTCCCTTTTGGTCTAAAAAAACGTCATTTTCTACCCAAAAACGTCTTTTTCAAATGCATGCACAAATAATTGTTCTTATTAAACTTTTATTGTTTACAAAGGTACATAAGTATGTACATATGTAAGGTGTATTAAAATGTGATTTCGAAAGAGCATATTTACAATTTATTGTAAACTGGTTTGAGATCGTTAATATAAAAATCATTTTATACATACACTTGTGATCAGCTGATTCAGTCATCAATATTTCGATCGATTGTGGCTCTTTTTCTTTTGTTTAATTAATGTTTATTAATTTTCCATAAAAGCCTAGCTCATTATATAACAAACCAAATATAAATCCACATTTCAAACTTGGTGCAAAAATTATAAAAAAATTTGCAAAGTATCAGCTAGATTTTCAACTTTTTATTATGACTTGTGCAAGTTATAAGTTGCTAAAGAATCGCGTTGATTTTTAATAATTTTTTTCTTGTAGAAATTTGGTTATGTGGTCGGTTGTCGAAAATGCTAAATGATGTTCTGCTAAGAAGGAACATAGCAATATTTCAGCCTTTTTTGCGTTCATTACATTTTCAATGAAGCCTTAGAAAAGTCGCCTACTTTTTTCTCTCCTTTTATGCTTCTACAGTGTTTTTGGTGCTTTTGCGAGCGGGCGTACTGCAATAGATCAGCTCTTCCTGATTTGGCTTTTAATGTGCAATTGCAAACATTGCAATAAGCCTCCTAACCTCAAGTGTTCACAAAAGCAGCCAAGAATCCAAAAAAATGCGCGTACGCTTGGTTTGCATCATATTTAAGTAATCTGTGTCCAAAGAATAAATATCTTTTGAAGAAGCTGCTGCAAAAAAAGCTGTAAAGATTTATTAAAAAAATTATTCAAAATCAGTTCTACTTACAAGATTTAGTAACAGAGAAAAATTACTGAGAAGTTAAAAAACGTAATTTTTTGCACAAAAAACATCCGAACGTCAACAGGATACAAAAAACGTCCAAATGACGTTAAAAACGGCAACCTGGCAACGCTGCTTGCGGCGTGGCACACAGAGAGAGTATTCGCCTAACAAAACTGAGCACCAGTGTTGCCATTTTAGCCGTTCTCCGGCTAGATTTAGCCGGTTGCGATAGCAAACAGCCGGAGAAATTTTGATTTAGCTGGCAGCCGATTTGTTAGCCGTTTTGCAGAAAAAAATTAGCCGTTTTTAGCCG